ATCTAGCACAACTTCTTTATATGTGGATGGCTCTTTCCCTGCACTTACTACAACTAGAAAAGCACGATATCGAATAGAAAAATTTTCACAAGAAACATAGTGAGCTATAGGAAACGGCGTACCTGAGGATGATGAAGGAGCTTGGGAGGAGAGGAATGGACTGTTAGCAATTGCCGTATGCATGGAATAGTCTCTGAGTTTTACTGAAGAAATTTTAACCCGCTTCCCTCGTCCGAGTTCACTAGATTCAGTAACCGGTGGCCCTTGGAGTTGCATATCTGGCGGACTTGTGGATGCCGAACTATCAGCAGAACCGTCTTCTTGGTTTTCCATAGCTCCATGCTGAGTATTGTTGTTTGTGGTAGGGCCCGCATTGATGTCACTGGAAGTAAAGTATTCTGGCAGATCTTGAACATCCAATATGGGAGTAGAATCCGAGGATGGAGGCACATCCTAGCCTACTTCGGCAGGCACTTGAATAATATCAAAAGATGGTGCAAATGGAAAAATATGCTCAAAGAATTTAACATCTCGAGAGACGAGATACTCCTTTGTATCTAGATCAAACACGGTCCACCCTTTCTTTCCAAATGGGTAGCCAACAAAAATACATTTTCGTGTTCGACTACTAAATTTGTCATTTTTTGATCGCACGTTATATGCATAACATAGACAACAAAAAACCCGTAAATGATCAAAGATTGGCGGTACCCCAAATAAGATTTCGAATGGGGTCTTGTTGTGTAAAATACGTGAGGGCGTTCTATTAATAAGATGAGCAGCCACCAATACGCATTCGCCCCAAAAAGAAATAGGAAGATGAGATTGAAAACGTAAAGCACGAGCTACAGTTAGAATGTGTCTGTGTTTACGCTCAACCCGTCCGTTTTGCTGAGGCATTCCCACACAAGATGTCTGGGAAATAATTCCTTGTTCACAGAAAAATGGCTTCATTCCATTAAACTCTGTACCATTATCGTTGCGCACCGGTTTAACTTGTTGAGAAAATTGTCTATTAACCAGGGCAAAGAAAGCGGCAAATGTAGGAATTATTTCCTTCTTATCAATAAACAAATAAATCCAAACAGCACGAGAAAAATCATCCACAATAGTCAGGAAATATTTAGCTCCACACGAAGATGGAGTCTCATACGGACCCCATAAATCACAATGAATTAACTCAAAAATTCTTGTGGAAAAACTATTACCTAAAGGAAAAGAGTCATGTGTTTGTTTAGCTTTAAAACACACATCACAAGGCTTAGACAAATGCTGCTTAGAACTACTCACAAACGGCAAACATGTGATAATATTTTCTGAAGGATGTCCCAAACATTGATGCCACATATCAAATTTAGATGCCTGTCCCACGAGAATTGTCCGAGCAACAAAAGGTTCCTGCAAGTAGTAAAGTCCATTCCTCCTCTCACCCGCTCCAATCAGCTTCCTCGAGTGTCGGTCCTATATAGCACAAAAGTTAGTTGTGAATTAAACGAAACAATTTAAGTTGTCATTCAGTTGTGAAACCGATATAAGATTACAATTCAGACGGGAACATAAAGCACACGGTCAAGGGACAAGTTTTCTGTCAAATACACGGAGCCCTCTTATAGAGCTTCCACTGGACAAGGAGGAATATCCTTCATATTACGTAAATAATTCAAGTTTCCTGTGAGATGATTAGAAGCCCCGGAATCAAGTATCCATAAGGAATTGTCAAACTTACCGGACATGCGTTCATTTGTAATTTGAGCGTTACCAAAGGCCAACAAGTGCCTTCCATTAGTCCAGTGTGAAACCTGGTATGGGTGTCGGTGAATTGTCCTTATCTTCAGTCCCCTTTGCTCCGTCAAACCCCTTTGCTCCTGAGCTGCCTGCCTTCGCTGCATGAGCTTTCAAGGTTCCAGATTGTGAATGCATCATTGACATCCCCTGATTTGCAAAGCCCGATTTCACTTGTTTCACCGCAGCACGTGGACGATCCCCCCACCACTTGGGGTAGCCGACGAGTTCAAAACAATGGGCAACGTCATGCCCGGAAAGATGACAATAGGTACATATCATGTCAGACTTATCTGGCTTAGCCATCTTTCCCTTCCCACGCCCTTCAGGACGAGCAGCAAAGCCCACCACATTAGGCTTATCATCCTTCACCTGGGTTATTCCACGCACTCTTTCTTCTTGTGTTACTTGTTGGTACGCACGGTTGAGCGTTGGAAGAGGTGTTTGGGTTAAAAGCTGCGAACGAACTTGTCCGTAAAAATCTGTGTAGAGTCCCATTAAAACTGATAAAAGCGTTCTGCTTCTCTTCATTTTTCAAGGAGCTCATTCAAGTTGCAGGTACACTTGCCACAGTTGCAGCTCAACAACGGCTCATAATCATTCACTTCGTCCCACAAGACTTTCAGTTTAGAATAGTATGTCCCAATAGACATATTTTTTGACTGCTCACATCGTGCCAAATCTGTTTTGACTTGGTATATGCGAGGTCCATCAACGACGGAAAATCGTTCCTTTAAATCACTCCATAATCGGCGAGCATCTTCATATCGAGAAAGAGTATTTTTTACCTCCGGTGATATGATGTTCATGATCCAAGACACGATCATCGAATGTAGAGTTTCCCAGTCATCGTTCGTGCAAGGCGGCTTCGGTTTCGTGATAGTTCCATCAACAAGCACAAACTTCCGCCGGGCTTTCAGTGCTAACCGAACAGATGCAACCCAGTCCTCATAATTATTCTCCGTCAAATGAACGGGTGTGATGAAGTCACCCGGCCTGTCTTGAGGCCCCAAGAAGAACGGCGAAGTATGGTCGATTTTTATCTCCGTCGAAACATAGTTTTCTGTTTCGTTATCATCATTTGCCATGGCGTCAAGGTGCGTATCTCAGCCGTATGTCTTTGATACCATGCTATAATTCTAAGGTATATGAACGATACAACAAAAGAGAAGAGTAATTTTGGTGAGTTCTATTCTCAGTGCATCGAGCCTTCTTGGCCGAAATAAATAATAAGGGTTTACAAGATTAGCTCCTATAATTTTGGAGTAGATTTAGAAACAAATAAGAAGACGATCATTATAATAATAATGCTACCAAAAATAATAAACTATGGCCCGTATGGTCCATAATACCCAGCCTAAATCTAAAAAATGTCTATATTTTTAGTGTAAAAACTTTTATGTAATCTCTCTTTCAAAAATATTCTTTGTACCGGCCCAGTCCGGCCCAGTGTCCTGATTCTGCCCCGACAGTAGGGTCAGGGCCTAAGAACAAGTTTTGTCTAGTCTATGTCTGCGTGTTAACAAGAACAACTTAACTTCAAGAAGGATAGCAACACTAAAGATGAGAGCAATGAACTATTGGACTTCTTTTGGAAATTACATTTTCCCAGAAGTTGGACTTCTAGGGAAAAAATTGGTTTCACATTCATTGATGATAACTTATCCCAAATTAGTATCATTTAAGTGCTTGATACCATTTTAACGGTTTGTGGACTCGTGAATCGTCTTTCCGAATCGTCTAGGGAGAATTTTTCAATTACAGCCATGACTTTAAATTTTTCAGGCAATTCCATATCTGCTTCACGGAGAGAATGTAAGATAAGCTCAAATTCTTGTGTTTGTTCTAAAACAGATTTTCCCTCTTTCATGTCGAATCTCAAGAATTTGGAAACAATATACTTTTCCAGACCGTGGTCATCAGTATTATATTTCCTATCCAACTCATCCCAAAGGTCTTTAGCTATTTCATTCCTCTCCGTGGAGGGTGCAATAGACATCAAATAACATGTCGGAGAGTCCCAACAATATCATTCCTTTGGCTATTTCATTCCTCTCACGCCATAAAGTTTGGCGTTCAAGACTTTTGGGATCAGACTCGACAACGGGGGGACACACTGTCATAATTACCGAGAGCAAACCCTTGGTGATTAACCAAATTTTCATGCGTTGTTGCCAACGCTTGAAAAAATGCCCAGAAAATTTTTCAGGCATTCCGGTCAAATCAACCCTGTGAGAGCCCGTGGCAACAAATTCAGGTGTGTCTCCAGAATTAGTCACAGACACAGAATTAACATTATTTTCAGGGATTTCATTCACATTATTCTCAACAACAACGTTTTCAGAAGTAGCAGCATTTTCCAAGTTCGTCATATTGGATTTTTTCAAAACTCGAGAAATAATATCTTTCTTCAGATAAAATCCCGATTTTAATCACAAATCACCAGACAAACCACCAAATGCAAGAACAAATAAAATAACAACAATAATTAGATACGAAATATTAATATAAAAGATAGAGAAAGAATGACTTAGCGTAAGATCGCCCGTTAACCGGACTGGCCTTGAAGAAAGATAGCCCCCGTATCTCGATAGCTACTCGAACGGGACTGGCCAACTCGCTCCCAGGATAATCCTACCTCTGTTTCAGTCCTCTAGCTTGCTTGACAGAAACACTTCGACCGTTGCCCGATTTGCCGTAGACTCAAAAAGTAGATATAAGTTTATGGGAAATTATGGATTACTAATGCTCTCGTATGGAAGGCAAGATATTACTTACTTGTGAAAAATGAGTGAAAGAAAGAAGTAATATCTATTCGGGCTCCTCTGTATTACGTAAGAAAAAAGATCGAATAGGAGTATATTGTGGCTTTATTCGTACGAAGGTGTTATATTCTGAGAGCATTCATGTGGGTGGATTATTAAAACGGAAATCAAAATAAAATAATTCAAATGGAGTGCGGTCATTGTGCATCCACCACCCAAAAAGTTAGGATCCTCAAACAATATTGACCAAGCTTCACAGCTTATACATCGGGCAGTTCAAAGTTTCAATTTTGAAACTTCCGAAATAAGCTGGGTGGCACACGTACTGCTTATTTATCATTATAAAATGATAAATAAAACATATTAGAATATTTGTTCTAAAATCAAATGGTCCACTAGCTTGAAATTACGACTCAAACATCCTTATCCGCCGTTCATTTAATTTTATCTATACGAATAAGTGATACTGATGGAATAATTTCTAAGCCACTTTATATGATACTTGAATAACATTCCTTTATCATTTAATATCTAAACAAGACCAATCATTTTATAAATAGAACAAAAATTCTCAATACATCACTTTTACAATCTTTACAACTATGGATTTTAATCATTAAATGATATAAATCCAAACGTGAAAAATTGTTCTTTGATGTATAATAAGCCACACTCAATTCATATTTTATACATATTATTTTAGAACTCTAAGAGAACTAAAAACAATAACATTTATATCATCATTTTTCCAACAGTTTCCATGTATTTGATCGACGTTTCAGTCAAGGACCTCGAATCTCCCACTGCAAATGGATCAGGTTACACCTATTGGCTATGGCTATTTTCATCAGATTGGTGTTGCATTGCATCTTATTTCATATAATAAGATAATGCATATACTTTGTCTAAAAAAATGCATTTAAGATACTCCGTACATATTTTGTCTGAAAAATTAACATGCTTAAGGGACTGCAGCTGGGACCAAATACACGTACCAATGATTTCATGAATAAAAAATTGAAATTGTAATATTGCAATTTACTCCATATGTTATTAATCTTGTCCACTATCAAGTCATTGTATGCATGTGAGAGTTGGAATAAGATTTTTGTGTTAAATACTCTTTTTCACTAACATGTCAGAACTTAAAAGTGTAGCATGTGGGTTACTAAAAAATGTGTAAATATTTTTGTAGCATTTTTTTATTAGATTCTGTAAACAGTATCTGGTTAATCTAAATTTCGGCCTTTTTGAACTCTCTCATGCTTTCCAATGATTAATCTAAATTTCGTGAACTATAGTTGTTGAATTGGGATTTTACAGTTTCTTTTTCAACATACGGTTCCCTGTGGCTAATTCCAGTAGTTATCGTCCTATCTTGAAGCTGAAAGCCTGAAAATTTTGAAATCATGATTGCATTGTTAGGAGAACGAACCATCTCACAAAGTTTCTGCACACGAGAAGAGGAGTGGAAGTCCTATAATTGCTGCTATAGAAAATCGAGATGCCAAGAGGCGGTCTATTGGACTGGCAGAGGATTCTTCAACCATGCTTGCTGAATCTCCTGAGTTTACAAAGCTTGATCCTCCTCCTCCTTGTGCCTTGGACCCGAGCAAAAGTCCGGCTCCTAGAATTCGCCGAACGAAACAACAACTGAAAGTCTCTCTTTCCTACTGTTTTTCTCAGCTGAAAGTTTTTAATTAATCAGCGACTAAAATAAAGAATTACTTTGCTAATGATTTAGGACATGGGTTCAATACTTGGATGTATTGATGATGAAGATCACGGATTGGAGACCTTTATTTATTGCATGACTAATGTGAATGATACAAAAGTGAGCAAGCTTTAAATGATTCTTTAGAAACACCTTTGATACCTTGCAATGTATCCTTCAAGCTTATTGTTGTTGTTGTCGTTGTTGTTATTGTTCTATCGCACATTCAGGCTGCAGAGGATGTGCTGATAGCTTCAGGATATGAAAAGGGCTCTAAAGAGTATATGGTGCGATATAATTCGGTAAATGACTAGCAAATACAATTGTGTTTTTAGATGAGGGAGGGGGTAAGGTTATGTGCAAGTTACTTACTAATTTCATATGATGGAAAATATTGTTGCAGTTGATGCAGAATCAACGGTCATATGGACTCACTGTGAAAAGAAAGAACCGGATGGCAGATATTAGCGGGGGCGTGCGTGTGGAAGCTGTATTGAATGAAGATGGCAGATATGTATTTGGTAAGGTGCAAAAGTACCGGATGGGTTGATGGTAGAGTATCCCTTGCTCCCTTCTAATTGGTACTCCAATGACTGCTTTACCGGTGATGGAACTGTTTTGGGAATTGGGCAGTCTATTGCCATATCTGTATGAGTATTACTTATTATGATTATTCCATTTTTGAGTAAGTTGATGTGCATGTTTTGGTTAATTACTCTCTCTATATTACTCCGCAGTATAGAAAAGACACACTCTCTTATGTGGGAAATGGACTCTTATTAATATGGAGTCATGTACACTAAAAGCATAAAAGTTACAAGGAGATTGTGTACAGACATAGCCCCGTTTGGATAGTAACAGTTTGAACAATCCGCTGATTGTTTTGAATCGCAAAGCGCTGCATTTTGCAGCGTTTAGGTAGCAATCCGCTGAAAAACAAAGGGGAACCTAGTTATTATTGGAAAACATTTCGTCAAAATATATGTAAAAAACACAATATTTTTCAATATTTTATTTAACTCACATCCGGGTTGAATTTTAAGCTGAGATTTAGTGGATATAAACACTTTATGTAGAAGAACATGCTCTCAAAATCTCATCAAAATATGCTACCCGGAAGCACCTCAAATGGAGGTGGTCAGATGGCGTTAGGCCTGGACTCGGGCCGGGCAGCCCGACCCGGAACCGGCCCGGCCCGGCCACTGTAGCAACCGGCCCGGCCCGGTGGCCCGGTCCACCGGCGGTTCGGGTCGAACCGGCCCGGTGGTTCCCGGTTCCGGGCCCGGGCCTTCCATATGGTGAACCGGCCCGGCCGGTTCGGGCCCGGTCCGGGCCGGAATTAAATTTTTTTTTTTTTTTGAAAATTTTTTATGTTTTGGGTTAGATTAGGTATTTTGGTCCATTTGAGATGGTTTGGGGTGGTTTGGGGTTGAGAAAGAGGGGTAGGGGATTAAATAAAGAAGCCAAAAAAAAAAAAAATTAATAGGGCGGGTGGCCCGGCCCGGAACCGGCCCGGAACCGGCCACCCCCGGTTCGGGCTCGGGCCTATATATACTGAACCGAGGCCCGGCCGGGCCCAGGCCCGAGGCCCGAACCGGCCCGGTTCAGTCCACCCCTAGATGGCGTTCTAGGCTAAAAATTCCTGTCACAAATACTTGGCTTGCATAATATACCTTATGTATTTGGAACCAGGACAATCAGAGTAATTGTAATTTTACTACTTTGGTCCATTTTTATATTTATTTTTTGTTTGTAATTGTATTTGTTATTTTAGTTCACCTAAAAAGGGAATTAATATTTTGCTGATTACGTTGTTATTTGTTCATAGTAAATTACTAATATTACTAGTCAGTTTATTTAATTACTAAAATTACTAAATGTACCCTCAAAGTTAGTCACCCATAACCCACTGTGAAGTGTTTTTTTGTCTGTGAACCCGGTTCACAGACAATATTTTGTTTGTGCAAAAAATTGTCTGTGAATCGAGGTTCACAGAAAAAAAACACTCCACAAACATAGGCAGGTACAAAAGTCGGTGTAAGAGTGGGTACTAGGCCTGGGACCGGTTCGGTTCCTAGGCCAAATATGTGGAACCGTTTGAAAATATGAAATTTTACTAACGGTTCGATTCTTATAAATTATTTTATAGAACCGATAAGGAACCGAACCGTTCTTAACGGTTCGGTTCTTGCCATTTAACGGTTCCTAGTTTTCGAAAAAATTCTTACAAATCATGACTAAATTTTTTCCAAAAAGACATTGTACGTTTGAAATTACGATACAAATATGCTTAAACAGTTAAATAGAATAATAATTTTAAATACTTTGGACCTTCAAAGTTCCGACCCGCTGGAGTTCTGACCTAATGAGAGGCCTAAGAAGCCTAAGAGAACCGGTTGAAGTGAATAATAGTTTTAAATAGTTGAATAACTAAATTAAAATAATGAATGGTGGGTGGCTGGGGGGCCGGAGTAATCAAGGCTGAAACTCACTTCATTGAGTTTCGAACCCTTATGTGCCTGGCGGGTTTCGAACTCGATACCTCCCACTAGGCACGGTAACCTCACAACCAGCTGGGCTGGACTGCTTGGTTATGTAAATATACATTAATATATATATATATATATATATATATATATATATATATATATATATATATATGCTCATAAGAAATATATATAATTTCAATTATTATATATAACGGTTCCTTAACGGTTCCTAGTACATATTTTTTCAGGAACCGAGAACCGAACCATTAATAAAAAATAGGAACCGAACCGTTAAAAAATAACTAATAAATGTTGGAACCGAACCGAACCGGGTTATAACGGTTCGGTCCGGTTCGGTTCTCCGGTTCTTGGTTCCAAAGTCCCAACCCTAGTGGGTACAAACATTAATTTTGTAGGGGTGGATTCGGGTCGGGCCACCCGGCCCGGGACCGGCCCGGGACTGGCCCGGCCCGGGACCGGCCCGTGACTGGCCCGGCCCGGGACCGGCCCGGGACTGGCCCGGCCCGGGACCAGCCCGGGACTGGCCCGGCCCGGGACTGGCCCGGCCCGGGACTGGCCCGGCCCGGCCCGTTACTGTGTGGGACCGGGACCGGCCCGGTTCTCGGTAGGGTTGTAAATGAATCAAATAATTTGTGTTCGATTCGCGATTCGAATTCGTATAGGATGATTCGAATTCGAAAATTCAAATACAAATACAAATAAGAATATTAAATTTGATTCGAGTTGTTATCAAATACAAATAAGAATATCAGTGTATTCGATTAGAATATTAGTCAAATATATTCGATTAATAATAATGGTAATATTAATATCAATATTAATAATATATAATAGTAATAACACTATAATAACTATTAAAGGATAGCAATACCCTCAAAGTGTGGCCCATATAAACATTTTTGCATACAGATTCCAAGCCCATTTGTAATGACCCAGAATATAAATATGAATACAAAACATTTTTTTTTGATTCAAATGTCTTTCAAATACAATACAAATAATTATGTGTTTGATTTGAAGAATAAAATTAGAGTTGGTTGACTTTGATATATATAATTATCAACTTATTTCACACATTATAAATATAATTTCTAATATGTGTGTTAGTGTTTATTCCAAAAAAATTGAAATAGATTTATATTTATTAATCATCATAAAATTAATTCACTTTAGTATATTGTGCACCATCTAAAAATGCATAGATTCATTAAATTTAAAATATAAATACACATATTATGTCATAGCATGCATTTACAACATAAAAAGTATAAAAAATTATTTTAAAGTGATATTTGACTAATATTTAACCTATGCTCAAATCGTTTCGATATTCGTATATGATTCGTTAACTATTAGTATTGTTAAACAAATACAAATACAAATCGAAATTAATGTTCGTTTCATATTTGAATTTGAATTCGTATTCGAAAAAATTAAACAAATACAAATACAAAATCTCATTATTCGACTCGATTCGGTTCGTATACAACCCTAGTTCTCGGGTCCGGGTCGGGCCTAGGCCCGGGGAGAGGGCGGGTCCGGGCTCGGGTCGTGCCTATTTTTTTTAATTTTTTTTTTCAATTTTTTTTTAACTTTTTCGGTTGGGCTGGGTATTTTGGGGTGGTTTGTGGGTGAGGGGGGAGGGGCTGGGGGTTGGGGGTTAACTAGGAAAAGGAAAAAAAATTGCAAGAACCCGAGGCCCAGCCCGACCCGACCCGGGGATTACCCGGGCCGGTCCCGGGCCCCCCATTCTTGAACCGCCGACCCGGCCTGGGCCCGAACCGGCCCGGCCCGGGCCCGAACCGGCCCGGCTCCAACCCTATAATTTTGAATTAAAGATACCATGAGGGCCGATTCCCACGAGTAGGGATGTGAATATGTGATTATGAAAGTTTCAGGCTTTTCAGCTACTATAGGTGTGCCGCCACCTATTAATTCTTTATCGTGTTTGATTGTCTTTCTCTATAAACTTAATTCTCGACAATGTTCCTCCTCCTCCTGTAAACTTTCTCTAGCGTATCTTGTGTCTTCAACCTCATGTGTTGGCTTTTGTTCCTTCTCATACGGTTAAATTAGATACTTGATGTATTTTTATTTGCTCTTGATTTAATTAAGTGTATGTGAATTGCAATTCACAGGTTGTGAATATGAAAGATATTTATTCCTTTTCATTTCACATCTGCATTTTGGAATTTATCCCTCTCCATAAACTTGCGAATTTGCTCATATTAGTCATATGCGAAGCCCAACTGTCACGGGCTGACCGGGTCTTGGATTAGTGACGGTCGAAACCCATATTCAAAAACGAAAATTAATATTACCTCTCTCTTTATAAAATTGTCAAAGTTGATTGACACGTGGAATAATAAAATAAAAAACCTATATTGAGATTTGGGAAGAAGTGAGAATTCACAAAAATCACTAATTTTCAATTTAAAATAGAAAGTACACGTAATAAAGTTAGTTAGACAATTAAAGAAGGAAAACTAAAAAGTAGAGAGTACTACATACAATAAGGCTTAGGGTATATTTGACACAACTAGCTGAAAACATATTTTTGTAGTTTTTAGTGACTGAAAAGATCTTAAAAATAAAAGGTAGTAGCTTTTTGGTAAAAAGCTGACTGTTTGATTTAGTTTTGTTTGGTATACAAGCTGTTTGAATTAATCAATGGTAAAAGTCACAGAATTTTCTCAGATGCTACTGTTTAAATAGTAGAAAAGCTAGAAGGTAGAGACTTTTGCCTGCCAAACATAGCCTTACAAATTTACAATAAAAAGTAGGAGAGTTCTATTCATAATCACACAATTATAAATCTATTTTACCATAAATGTATCAGAAATTTCCCTAAATAGGAGTAAAAACGTTTTGAAATTCCAAAATAGGAGTATCATGTTTTTTATTCCCTGAATAGGAGTAATCTGTCAAGTTTGGGAAAAAATGTCATGTTTAAAGCCTTGTAATGCCAAACTTGACAGAAATTTACTCCTATTCAGGGAATAAAAAATATCATACTCCTATTTTGGAATTTCAAAACGTTTTTACTCCTATCTAGGGAATTTTCCTTCGGGCCTAACATTTTAGAAGCCCGACAAAATTAATACGAAGTACTCGGTAGTATTACTCGGCCTGGGTCCGAAGCTTTGAACTGCGAAGGAAATAGAACGAACGAAGGAAATAGTAGTATTAGGGTCTGTTTGCAACAATTTCTGCTTTTTAAAAAGTGCTTTTTTTAATGAAATGAGGAGAAGTGATTAAATAAAAGTTGATAGTGTTTGAGAAAAAAGTGATTTTGAAAAGTAAAAGTGGGTAGT